TAGGTTCGGGAATGGCGCTACAGGAGCGATAGGCGAGGTTCCACCGGCAGAAGATTGGAGGTACATGCTGAATGTCGTTTCGAGTGAGTTCCATAATCTCTGTGATCATTCGCTTGCATAGAAATGATCCGTCGACATCGCTACTGATTTGTTGTGATAGGTGCCATTGTGAACACTCCGTATGTCTACAATTCGTTCATTTGTATTTTGGTTGATGTTCTATTTGGTAGTCCACCTGGAGGTGTCCTCACCATGGTCAACACCCTTGCGTCAAGGACTCACAAAACAATGCACTACTGTGATACTGATGAGACTATGGTATGCCGCCTTCATCTGTGCCCCTACTTCTCTCTCTTGCTTCCAGTTTCCAAACCAGTACTAATGTGACTGCCACTCCTAGATCCCCCTCTTTTCCAAGGATACCAACGGTGCTACCCTCAAGAACAAGTACATCATGGGCCGCCGAAACTGGTGCAGTGTTTGGTGGGAGGATACAACCGGAGAGCTGGTTTTTGATATTCGAGTGGAGAAGGAGAAGGGATGTGGTGAGAGTGTTGGGTGAGTCGCCACCTTTTTTACCTCGACGGCAACTATTGACGGTGTGGTTGTTATAGGTATGCTGTTAGTGCGCCTCCCCCTCGGTGGATTCCATAACACTGCGATGGATGCGAGTTGCTTTATTTAATTATCTGGTGAACTCTTATTATACCCAATCATCCAACTATTGAAGCTCGGATACGATACCCTTGTATTTGGAATCGATACCCTAATTGCTTCATTGTGGGGTCTCCGAGTGTGCAAGAGAACAACAATAAAGCGTTGGAATCGACTACAAAGTGGTAATGACAACAGCGTGTATGAGGAGAGAACACGAAAATATACGAGGATACAAGACACAATAATTGAAGATGTAAATTAAAACGAGTGTGGTGGGTGAAAGCAGATGGGGGGGTATAGGTACGTCAGTATGGATACAACAAGTGTTCATTCGTTTGTTTTGACTTGATAGAGAATCGACAACAGATGTGGGTTTTCATCAGCTTGGGTATATCGTGTTTTCAATCTTGAATGATGAGTGAGAGATCGTGTTTCGCTTTTGGGACTCTTGGATTGGGGAGGCGGTAGAGGCGGGGGTGGGGGGCGGGGGTCGTGAACGGTCATCAAGAGGCGTATCATGAACTATGCTCCCCTTCAAACCAACCACTTCAACTCCTCCCACTCTGCGTTCCTCCATTCAACCCTACTCCACCACCCCCTCCAAGCCCACCAACTGGCGCAACACCATAACCTCCAACAGCACTCGGGGTCGTATCACCCCTAGCAACACTAACCAACCTTTCCAAAAACGGTCCCCTCCACGACCGACTCCTATCCACACCCCCAGAACCCCAACTCCTCATCCTCGACCCACCACTCTCATCGCTCCCATCTCCTTGCGAACCACCACTGATGGGGTGATCCAAGAAAGGATTCTCAACCTGTCTCGGACGATAACCATTATAAACTTGCGACTCGTCCAGCGCATCCTCGAAAACTTCATCCGATTCGGATGGCGCGAAAGAGGGAGGTCGGCTCGATACGGTTACGTCGGTAGACATAGTAAGCGAAGAATCAAACCTGACGAGATCTAGAGGTCGAGGAAAGTCAGAGATGGATAACGCCGGCGGGGACGAGATATTAATTCCAGTCCCGGTTTGATGCTGGGGGCCGCCGAGAGGCAAGTGTAATTGAGTATGCGAATCTTGTACAGCGCGATGAGAGAGGCTCGTCGAGATTTGCGTTCCAGCCGTCATGGAAGAATCGAATCGTACCAAGTCTGGTGGACGCGAGGTGGACTCTCCGCGGAGGTTCAGAGAGGATAGTCGTGTTTGAACGGTGGTGGATGGAGGGACCCTCGTCCGACTAGCATAGACCGTGTGCAACTCTGAATGCGAATGGTGCACTGCTCGTTCTGACGTCTCGGTCAAAGACACAGCGGAAGGATATTCCCTAATCGTACCCAATTCAGACTCGGGGTCGGCGAATGGGTCGATACCATCCTGCTCGGCCACCGATTCGACCGCATCGTTGATCAAAGGAAACGGCGAAGGTCGACGGAACGGCCTGCTTGGTTCAAGTCGGTCCTGAGCCAAAGAAACGAGTACCGGACCCCTCTCTTCCTCCACACCACCCCGTGTTCGCGTATGCAACACTCGCCCTTGAACCAACCCCGAACCAATTTGTCTCTGACTCCTACACCTCCCAAGTGTATTTGGAGAAGAGTCGAGTGGGAGATTTACACCTCTCCATTCTTCAACACCATCACATCCCGAACAATCGCACGAGCTTCCATCTCCACCTTCCTCTACATCGTCGCCTTTACCTCCTACCGACCTTCCTTCTCCATGAGTGACTTTCCGAACCTCGCCGATAAAAGCCATATGAGGAGTCGAGTACTCCTGCGAAATTCCCCTCTCATTCGAATCTCTAAACCCCTGGTCCCACCCACTCGAAACAGAAAAAGGCGTAGGGATCCTAATGCCCCCAGTCCCTCTCCTCCCCCTGCTCTCCCTCTCCCTCGCTTCCTCCTCTCCAACTCCAACTTCACGAGTCACCACAAACGCCACACCCGCCCCCCTCCTGCGCCTCCAACACAGGACCGCGCCGACCAGTAACGCAAGACCTACCAACCCCACCACAACCCCAACGATCCCACCCTCAAACGACCTCCCATTCCCAGCCGTTTGGACGTCCCCTGTAGGAGCGGGGACGATAAACGTGCTGGTGACCAAACCCGTACTGATGCCAACGACGGTCACGCTCCCACCTATACCAGTTTCGGTGGAATGATAGGTGGTGGTGTAGATTGATGTGGTGGTTATGATAGGACCTGGTGAGATTATATCTGGGAGGGACGAGGGAGGGGGTTGGTGAGGGTTGTTCTCTGCTGCCGCCGCCGCTATGATTGTGGGTTTCGTTAGGGAGGATATTGTGGGGCTGTTGGATTGAATTAGTATGAGTGAGAGGGAGGAGGAGCAGAAGCTTACCTGTCGGTGGCTCCCGAGGAGATGAGGCTGGGGATGGGGAGGATGATGGTGATCATCTTACTTGGAGTGATGGGATTTTCTCCGGGGGAGTTCGTAGTAGGGGAAGGAATGGGTTTGGATGCGGACTCGGGACCGGGGTTGGATGCAGATGCAGGGCCAGGTTTGGAGGGGGACGTCGGACCGGCGTTAGACGGAGGTGGAACGGTGGCAGGTTGGGATGGAACTGTTGTAGCTAATCCAACGGTATTTCCATTGTCTTTTCCGCTTGTGGCCTTATTACCAGAGCCACTGGATTGTGTCGGCGATTGTGTAGGGGAAGTCGTGGAAGGTTGGGATGGAACAGTCGTTACTGTCCCTGTAGTATTCCCACTTTCTCCATCACCCGGACCGCTTGCGGCTTTATTACCAGATCCACTGGCTGGTTGTGTCGGTGATGGTGTAGGGGAGACCGTGGAAGGTTGGGATGAAACAGTTGTAACTGTCCCTGTGGTATTTTCATTTTCTCCATCACCTGGACCACTGGCGGCTTTATTGCCAGAGCCACTGGACGGTTCAGTCGGCGATGGTGTAGGGGTCGAGGATGGGGTATCGGTTTCACCTTTGGTGGGAGGGGATTGGGAGGTAGGAGAGGTGGAGGGAGTTGAAGTAGGGGTTGTGGTACTTGCTGTCGACGTTGGAGAAGTAGGCTCCGATGAAGTTGTCGTGGATGTGGGGGATGAAGGGGATGTAGAAGTCAAAGTAGGCGACGAGGAAGAGGCACCGCCAGGGTTATCGATAGCCTTGTTTTGGGATGGTAAAGGGGAGGGGGTGGAGGAGGAAGTAGATGATAAAGAAGGTGGGGTAGATGTTGAGGGGGATGGACTGGTTGGGGGTGAAGAGGTAGAGGTGGTCGAAGCCGAGGTCGTAACGGGATCGGAGGTGGATGCCGTCGAGGGCGAGGACGTCTGGGACGACATCGAGGAAGGGGCTGAAGCGGAGGTGGTCTCCATGTTGATAACGAATGTGGGTATAACGAAGGACAAGTCAACGGAAATGAAAGGTTAAAGGAGAGTGGTTAAAGAGAAATAAAGGAGTGACAGAGGCAGCACGATGGCGCCAAGGAGAGGACAGCGTGCGCGGAGGGGAACGCACGAAATGGCAGACGGGGAGGGACTGGAAGGAAAAAGAAGGTTGGATGGATCAGCGTCGGATTTGCTTGGGGAAACGTCGACTTACCTGAACAGTCAATTCCTTGCTGAATTCGATGTGAATTCGATGCTGATTCAGATAATTCGTGGCAGGGATTGGTCGCCGTCGCCGAGTGTCCCAGCTGACAGCATTCTTCGTCACGAATCCAGCGATGAAAAATGTCAAACAAACACCATCTTGGCTTCCTCCCTGATTCGTGATGTCATAAACGAATCATACTTGCACAGCCACATCACATCTGGCAATCCAATCTCCTCCCCATCCATTTGCCAAGACTCTCCTCGCTTGTTCCATGCAAACCTTGCACGATCATCCTCCAACGTTGTGACCGCGTGACCCTCTACGCTGGCTCTCCGCACTCTTGCTTCATGCTACTTACCTCCCCCCCCCCCACAACCCCACAACCTGGCGCCCTGTTGCTATGCCCACCACCTGATACACTCTTCCGTCATGTCCCTCTTCCTCCGTCCCCTCGTGCGATACTTGTCCCTCCGAACCCCCCTCCACGGCTCTTTTCCCATTCTTCTGAAAATTTAAATCAGCTCATATCCCAAATATATCCCCATTCGGTGCATCGTAGGAAGTTCATCTGCGTGTGAGTCGTCAGAAGCACGGTGGACAACCCTCCGTCGACGAGATGCAAGAACGCGCTGTTCAGCCAGTGGAATCGCTCGACAAGTCAACCAGATGTCAAGGAACAAGCTGCTAAGCACTTACCAAGTCCCATTTCGATGATGTTCCATTGACCTACGCCATCGTGACTACCTAAAGGCCACTCTCACGCACGGCAGTGTGTCCGAGCGGTCCAAGGAGTTGGATTTAAGTATTCATTGCTTCCCAATAGGCGTGAGCCTGCGCGAGTTCGAACCTCGCCACTGTCATTCTTTTTCTGATACAACAAATCCATTCTCTTGCCTAGCATTGGTTGCTATTTGGCGTGAATACGCGAGAATCACCTGTGTTACACACTTTCCGTCCATACTTGAACCACCATTCCACCACTTTCGTTCACTTGAGCCAGTGTCTCGAAGGTTTCTTGCACGTGACTTTCTACACTCCAACTCTCCCTAACGAACTCCTTAAACACCATCTCCAGTCGAAATGTCGCTGGCATCTCCCCGCCAATGTTTACGCCTTGTATCTCCCTGCCGGTTTGCGTCTCGAAATCTAGCAACCACTGCCCCATCATCGGTTTACTTTGACGAGACAAAATCCAACGACCCCGCCGTCTCTACAACACCACCCGACCTCACCCCCGCCCAGCGACATATCCTCGACAGCGCACTACGAGTAGATCAAGCTGGCGAGGTCGCAGCCAACTGGATCTACCGCGGTCAAATGGCTGTCCTGGGACGCGATCCGAGAACGGGTCCAATAATACAGGCAAGTCTCCCCCGTTTCGCCACCCCTTTTTCCGCCGGGGGTCTTAATGTGGGAATAGGAAATGTGGGATCAGGAAAAGAAACATATTGCGGTTATGAATAAGATGCAGGTTCAGCATCGGGTTAGGCCGACTGTGCTTTGGGAGGTTGCGAAAGTTGCGGGGTTTGGACTTGGGGCTGTTACTGCTTTGATGAGCAAGGAGGCTGCTATGGCTTGTACCGAAGCTGTTGAAACGGTTATTGGGGAACATTATGACGAGTCTGTCTCTCATTTCTTCGTTCCAATTCATGTGTTGACCATTTCATGCGTTGACCCGCGTTACAGCCAATTGAAGGAGATGGACGGATTCACTACGACACATCCAAGTCTCCCGTTGTTGAAGGATGTTATTCGAGAGTTTAGGGACGATGAACTTGAACATTTGGATACTGCTGTCGAACATCATTCGCAGAGAGCTCCGGCTCATGCTTTGCTTAGTACGGTTGTTGGAGCCGGTTGTAAAGTAGCGATAGAATTGTGCAAAAGGATCTGAATGGCATTGCTCTCCTGCGTTCGCGTTCTTTATGACTAGGCTGAACCTCGACCTATCGTTGTGCCTGCACTTGAATCCCTGTGAGCGACTCGCCCCTCCGCTTTCCGTCCCAGCTATACTTCATCTGCAACGGGTTTAGGTGGGGAGAAGCGTCTGGAGAGAGGGACACTCACATCCGACGAGGAGTTAAGGTAATAGACCGTGCCCGGAACGAGCACGAGTCCGCAAAATACGATCCATGTCGACCTAGGGGTGAAACGAAAGTGCTTGTACGCGGCTTCACGCTAAAGTGGAGGCTCGGTCTCAGTGGGTTGAAAGTATTTAGGGTGGGATGGAGACGGACCATGTGGTTCCATCTTTCGATGGCTGGGTCGGTCTTGGTGGTGTGGTTAGTGTCTTGGAGGCTCTGAATCGTTTGGGAAACGTACTTTGGTGTATCCTAATATATTCGAGATGAGCGTTAGCGAGCGTTTTGAAGACAGGAACGCAACCGACCGTGGCCTGCCATGTCGATTTGGTGCTTTCGACTCTTTGAGGGAGTTGACGGAAAGGCTTTGAAATGGTAACCGTTGTGTTGAGATTTGTTTGGTCACTGCTTTCCTCTCAACCACCATTATCTCTGCTGCGCGCTTTTGCTCATGTCTTACAACCGTGATTGGGATAAAGGAAAGGATCAATGGGGTGATTCTAGTGCCTGGGGTGATACCAGCTCAAGAGGAAATGTAAGAGGTAGAGATGAAGAGTATTATGGGGAAGGGAAGAGGAGAAAATATAATGATGGGGTACGTGCCCTTGGTTTCTTCGGTATTTATTCCTGAGGTTAAAAGGTTTATGTGATATTTAGGGATACGGCGCTGCGCATTCGTATGAAGAGAATGCGAATGAAGGTGGATGGGGGCATGGTCATCAAGGCGACTCGGGTCAAGACTATGCGTATGATGACCGTTCTCAAAAAGGGTCTCATGCAAAGAAACGTCTTGTACCGAGCGAGCCAAGTCCCCATGTCATCTTTCTAGGCTTGGACCCAGATTTTACCGAGGCGGATGTTTGTCGACTTTATCTTTCACTTGCCTTTTCACCATGAACTGAGCCTTGTTTGTTCGTTCCAGCTTCAAGCCTACCTCGTCAATCAGGGATTCAGCGTGGAATCGGTCACCATCATCCGAGAGAGATCAACAGGCACTTGCCCATTCGTATACTAGTTTCTTGCCCATTGCATTAACCTATTGCCCCCCCCCTTGCTCTTTGCCCCACTTGGATTTTTTCAAAGGTGTCTCGAAAGGCTTTGGATTCGCCCAATTTACAAGCATCGATCACGCGCGCGCTTTTGTCGATCCTCTCTTCCCTTTCATCCAAATCCCACCGCCTGCTAGTCATGGTGCTTCTGCCACTGCGGCGTTTTATAAGGCGGTGGAATCGGGTGGGCAACATACGGGACGACGTGTCAAGATTGATTATTCGCAGAGCGCTAACCCTTCGGAAAAGGGACGACGGGGACCGTTACAATCGAATGATGGGACTAGGGATATTGGGAATGCGCAGGCGCCTTTGTTGTTGTTTCGTGGCTTGGATTTGTTGTCTGGTCCGCAGGCTATTGCACAGGCTATGAAGACTTCTGCGGGTCCCGGTAAGGATGGCGCCAAGGGGATGAAGAGGATCACTTTGATCAAGGATCGTGTTACCATGGCCAGTTGGGGTTTTGCTTTTGTGGAGTTTGTTGATGTCCAGGTATGACGGTCTGCCCAGTTGTTTGGTCATCATTATTCTGACCCTTGGGATTCAGTCCGCGGCAGCTGTTTTGGCTGCTAGTATGTCGCCACAGATCCACCCGAATGGTTTTAGGATCAGCGATCGACCGGTTGCTACGTCCTTTGCCCATCCGTATTCTTTCCAAGGGGTCGATCCAATGCGACGAGATGAAGCTGCCATTCCCTCTTCCGTCACCTTGGGAGGCGCTGAAGGAGCGTGGGTAAGGTATTGGGATGAAGCTTCGTCTGTCGCTGTACTGGATTTCAAGGTGGATGAACCTCCTAAACCTACTGTTCCCACCAAGGAGAAGAAGGAGAAGAAAAAGGCGAAAGGTAGGCGATGTCACCCCACGTTGGGTTTGCGCTCTCACTCATTGGTGCTGTTGTAGAGCTCGTTGCTGGCATCGTACCTTTGGAACCCTCGATATTGCCAATCTCTGACAAGCCTGTAACCTTGAGTTTCAAAACCAACGCTACCACCAAGCCTGGGACCAGCACATCTTGTTTGATCTCGTTTATTCTTGCATTATTATTCAGTCCATTCTGAGTATTTTTTCACTTCAGCGGGTGTGGGTTCTACAAGAACTGGTGCTCCACTTGCTCTCGGTTTTTCCATGACCGAGGATCGAGCTGGGGATGGTTCGGACGATGATGGCGCGAATGAAGCGGACGGCTCGAATCCCAAGGGTTTGTCTGATGTTTGGTTTGTGGAAGGATATACTCATATACTGTTTTGCAGTTGCAGCGGCCAAGAAAGTACCTCCGATGATTACAAGCAAGAAGGTAACCGTCCCACCCTTTCACCTTTTAGCGTCGGCTGGAACGCGACTTTGCAGACCTTTAACAATATCAATAAATGGAATCAAGTCCAGGAAGAACTCAGCCACAATGTCAGCACTAATCAGGCCCCAGTTTCTATTGTGGTGCCCATCACATGTTTATGAATATCTTGTTCATTCTGACGCCCATCTAGACTAGTGCTCAGCCCCAGGCCGTTGAGACGCCCCCTGTGGTCGTGGCCCCCGCGAAAGCCAAGGCGACCTCTCCGGTGCCCCAGGAAACAGAATTTGAGTTTTCAGATACCGTCAAGATGACATGTTTGCTGTGTGCGAGACAATTCAAGACTATGGACCAATTGAAACGCCATAACAAGGAATCGGATTTGCACAAGGTCTGCAATTCCTTTCGTCATCCTGTTCGATTTCCTGACCACTCGATCTTTTACAATTTGATGATTCCAGAAAAACTTCAAAGACGTGTCCTTGCGAGACGTGGCTCGCGAAAAAGCAAATGTAGCTCGTCAAGCGGCTTCCTCGTCCACATCTTCCGGTGCTGTTGCCTCGGAGCACAAGTATCGCGACCGTGCCGCGGAACGCCGTATTATGCACAATCAACCCGAAGCCCCCATGCCAGAACCGACGCAATCCCACTCCAAGAAGAGGTTTGCTGAAGGTCCGCCTCCTGTCCGAGCGGTTACGCCTCCCGCGCCACCAGTCAATCCAGGTCAAGATGAAACCAATGTGGGGAACCGTCTCTTGAAGATGATGGGCTGGAAAGAGGGTACAGGTTTGGGTTCAAGTGGTGATGGAAGAGTGGATCCCATGTACGTATCGGCCGTGCCAGCTCTCCAGTCACAAGATCTTTGTTTTCGGGCATTATACTGACACGTCGGTGGTATCGCAAGTCAAACTGCAGTCTTTGAACAGGGTGTTGGACTAGGCGCAAGCAAGGGCAAGGAGATCACGAATTTCACTGAAGGATATACGGGCTATGTTCACATGGCTCGGGATGCGGTGAGTCCGATTCCAATCAGAAAGACAAGATGGCATTGGATGATTCGGTTGCTGAATGTGAACCGTTCCTTCAGGCACGAGAACGATATGGGAGTTGAACCATGTACCAGCCTCGCTATGCTCTCCCTTCGTCACGCTGTCGGTAATTGCTTTGGAATCGTCAATATTATTATGGAATGTTACATGTTACTACATTGAAGCTAAGATACGCAACGCAAGACGATCCAACTGGAAAACAAATCACTTGTACACGATGGAGCAATCAAGATGAGGTTTGACGAAGTGTCTTCGCTGCAGCAAGCAAGGTACGTGAAAAAGGTAATTGCCTTGAGTTCAGGGGGCAGTTTTCCCCACCCGGCTGACGCAAAGTATAAGGAGCGAGAGTCGGGTTGAGGATGGAGACACATACCGTGCTGGAAGTCGGG